TCTTCTTCAGTTCTTCCTGTCTCCAGTCCACAATGCCTCCACCATACCAAATCACTGCTACTACCCACATATTAATCCCCATCATTTTGTTCTTGCCATTTAGCTTTGACCTGAGAATCAGCCGCAGTCTCCTGTAATACTCCCCCATAATCTTCTCCTTCATTGTCTGACTTAAAATCTCATCTTTTTCCAAAATCCCAAGATACCGGTATCCCTCCTCTTCAATCTCCTTCACCACATCACCACTTGGCAGAATAATCCCTTCACTCTTCACCACCTTACCACGTTTCAATACTAACATCCCACATTTAGCAACACCAAACTCCATCCCAATGTCATCACTCACCAACTGCACTGTATTAACAAGACTCTCAATCTGCTCCTCTGTTTTCCCATACAACTTTAAGTCATCCATGAACAGTAGATGATTAATCTTCACTTTCCCACTCATCTCATATCCAACTTTCACCTTATGCAAAACCATTGTTAGTGGGACTAAACAAACCACAAACAACAATGGAGAAAGACTATCTCCTTGAAATATTCCTCGATTGATTGGTACTTCTCCCAAAACAGTCCCCCCAGCATTCAGCTCACACTTCCACTGACTCATACTCTTCTCCAATAAGTTCCTCACATTCTCAGCACATCCCATCATATCTAGACACTCCACAATCCATGAGTGAGGCACCATATCATAAGCTTTCTTATAGTCTATCCAGGCCAATGACAGATTAGTACGTCTCTTCTTGCAATCTCTTAACACCATCTTATCAATTAACAACTGGTCTTTAGTTCCTTTACTCCCTCTTCTACACCCTTTCTGCTCCTCTGGCAACAACTCATTACTCTCAAAAAAGATATACAGATATTCAGCAAGTACCCCTGTCAATAACTTCCACATCACTGGCAAACATGATATTGGTCTAAAATTACTTACTGCTGCTCCCTTCTTTGGATCCTTCTGACACAACACTGTCTTTCCACAAGTCATTATTATTATTATTATTATTATTATTATTATTATTATTATTATTATTATTATTATTATTATTATTATTATTATTATTATTATTATTATTACTATTATTATTATTATTATTATTATTATTATGAGAGAGAGAAGGAGAGATGTGGGAAAAGGGGGAGAAACCCATAATCACAAAAATGGAAAGGAGAGAAGAAACAAAAGAAGAATAAAGACGAGAGAGAAAGACATGAGAGAGAGAGAAAAGTTAAATCAGCCCATCCACAGATGGCAGGACAGGTAGAGTCCTATTCAGCCACATCTGAGCATTTATTATTATTATTATTATTATTATTATTATTATTATTATTATTATTTTACAGTTGTCAGAGCTAAGTGGACTACCTGTTGAGCATATCTATTATGCAAAGGTTTAACAATTGGCGTTAAAACATATTAAGGTACTCTCTCTCTCTCAACTCTTAGGATTTAATGTCATTTCCTGTTGAGATATTGTGTCTTGATATTGAGAATAAGTTGAAATGGTATTTTATCACTTCAGACAGAGACTCAGTAAAAATATATGATGGGCATGTCATATATTACAAGTACTAATGAATATACATACATACATTATGTATACGCACACACTTACATACACTTCATACTGTTTGTACATTTATTTAGAGACAATAGAGAGACAGTGAAAGAGTTAACAGATAGAGAGAGATCAGAAATACAAGAGGCAGAGGATGCAAGGTCAATAAATGTACCGCATGTTTTATCATGTACATGTACATGTGCAATCATAAGTTTTTAGAAAAGAAAGCTATATACAAATATGATTTGTTTATTTATGCCATTTATGATAGTTGCAAGTCGAAGTAATAGATCTGCTAATTTTTATATTACTGTAGGTTGAAGAAAATTAAGGAATTCAAATCAAAACATGGACATTGGTTGTATTAATTTATTATTTTAATTTTTTAATCTTTTAATGTTAAAATTCACAAAAATTTAACCTAGCCAGAATACTTTATGGTCACCTCAGTGGTTATGGTAGTCTTGCTAGCCAGACTCTAATTTAATTAGAGTCTGGCTAGCGAGACTATGGTCACGGGACTAGGTCACGGTATTACATAGTCTGGCCCCGCCTCTTCGTTGCGCGGGGGTACCCCCGGGCAACGAAGAGGCGGGACCAGACTAGGTATTACAGTGATTTTAAAATAATTTTCTATTAAATCTAGCAAACTAATGTAATGACTGCTAGATCTGGATATGATTCATTATCACCATCAAGGATCTTGTCGCCATACATTTTCAACAGTAAAATGAGATCATAGTTGAGTTATAAGATTGCAATTTGCCATTTTACCAGGTACATGTAGATCTATACAGCCCCACCCATTTATTCCTCTAAGCTAGGTAGACCCCACCCTTTAAAGACTTTGTGGCAGAGGCTTCAGCGAGTGATTCTGGTTCTCAGGACTGTAAAAATACCTTAATGGAACAATGGCTACTAGATCTAGTCAAACTTGTTTAGGTACAGGTAGAGCTGCTAGTATTAGTTAGCCATTTTGAGTTACAATTTACTTGTAATAGATATTGGTGATTTGATTGATGTTATTGACTTATTGAAGAAATGTGGCTTTCAAGGAACAAAGTGGCAAGAGCTGGGACTGAGACTAGGACTACTGAAAACTACACTGGAAGCACTTGAAATGAAGTATCGTGGAGATGTGTATCACTGTCAAACAGAGTGTCTCTCCCATTGGCTACGTAGAGTTGATAATGTTGACAGAAGAGGAGGAGCCAACTTCAACTCACTGTCAGATGCTTTACGATCTATGAATGAAACTGCTGTAGCTGAGAAGTTAAGTGAGTCAACCATAACTGTATGTATAACTATAGTATAGACCATCTGCGCATTAGGTAGCACTTCTTTGAACTTTGCAGTGTTGTTTTAGTTCATGATTTACATTCTAGTTTTAGTTATAGTACTTTAGAACAAAGTATATTTAGTTCCAGTTCTAGTTATAGTAAAGACTCAGCCATTTATTTTAGTTATGACCATTTTCTTTTTAGTTATAGTTATAGTTTTAGTTATAACAAACCAAACAATACCAAGCAAAAAAGGCGTTGATTTATAGCAATTTCAAATATTACCATAATCAAACATGCCTCACTAACAAAAGTACCCTCTCAACAGGATCAATTTTGGTCAAATGAAAGTAGATTTCAATTAACAAGTTGGTGTGGCTAGTACTAGTACAAAACTGTTAATTTTATTTTAGTTATAATTTTGACAAATCATTTTAGTTATGATTCTAGTTATTTTGACATCAAATAGAAGAATTATAGTTTAGTTAACTAAATTACAATTTTGCTGTACTAAAATAGATTTACCGTAGTTATAGTTATAGTTAACTAATATAACACTGCTTTGAAGTCAGCAAAACATTGGGTTACATGTGGCCAGGCACACCCACTGGTTGGCAAAAAGCAAAATGACTGCATCAGATATACACATTTTATATCTTTGTTTGAGGATGCAAGAAAGCGGCTATGTTGCAAAGCTGAAATCTGTTGGTTAGATGATCAATGATGACCCTTATTTGCTTGAAAAAAACAGTGTCCAATTTACTTCAGGGATGAGAAACTGGCCAAATCCGTTTGGCCCTATACTTTGTTAGCAGGCCTGGGCTATTCACACAAGAGCAGCTCATGTCCTGGAAACAACTAGAGGCCTACAACTACTACAAAGTTCGACATGTTAGGACAATTTTTGTCTTTTTTGGAAAAGGAGGAAGAAAGTTTGGTGTAAGCTTCTTCATGCAGGCTGACATGATG